TATCAACTTCCAGTTTCTGTCAATTCAATCAGTATTCATTAATCAAGTTATTCAAATTCATGTGAAAAACTGGAAAGTCTTCTGCTTCTATTCAGATGAATTCTAATGCGTATTATTTTTATTCATAAAACATAACTATGTGATTAAGTTCGTCAGTTAGTTACATTTCATGATGAGTAATTTCACACATTTTATTTGCCGACATAAATAGTGTTTTATGATCAAAGTGAACATTTGAGAGCAATTTTTAAAAATTATTAATTGTTAGAGGAACTGTTCTGTCGTATGAAACGGAAAACCGATGTGCTACAAGCTGGGCACGTGAATGATCCATCGATAGTTGGTAATCGACATAGGGTAGTGCTACCACCGATGTCCTTCCAAAATGGCATGTATACTGCATGACCATGCCCAATGTACGTGAACTATGATTGTAATCCAAGGATTATTCGTAGTTTCTTGAAGGATTGAATCAATGTTGTAAGGCTTATATTTACCGGGTATATAGGACCAGATGCCAATAAACTTTGTTTTAACCCTGAAGAATCCTTAACGATGCTAATCTTGAAAAAAAAAATATATTAAGAAGATATTACAAAAATATTATCAGAGGATTTAACGAACTAAAGACAATCTTTATGATATTGAATTTCGGATCAATCATTTCCGTACAGTGGTTATATGGCGGTGACAACAAGCAACATTAAATATATATTTGATATAATAAAAGGACATGTAGCCAGTTACATTAAATGATCTAACATTTACCCAGGGTCCGTGACGTCAACTAATCCACCAGAACCGGTTTCGCTGTATTGCCACCAGAATTGTTAATAATCTAACCAAAAATTTAAATGACATCGCGCGACTAAGTAACTTAAATTCTTATAATAATTTTCATATTATGTTTCAAGTGCATCATGGCCTACATGCACATTGTCAAATGCAGAAATTCCGCTAAACATTTCAGAGTAAGAAATAATAAAAGTATACAAGGAAATTGCCGAACAGAATCTAATTACATGTACACGTGTTTTGTAATCGAGCCATATATCAATTTCCTTATTTAGGCCTGACATATTGTATTTACTAAGTCTTCTTTTATTGAACTCATTGATTCTCATCTGTAAAGTACACGTCTTCATATAAGTTTTCTCCACAATGTCATTGTCTAATACCTTGACTGCAATATGATTGGATTGCACTCGATCGAATAAAGTTAATTACCAATTACAGGAGCAGTCAAATTGTATACGGTCTTTCTGTCGAGGACTCTGATTGGCTGCATTTAGAAACTTTGTTATACAAGAAAGGAGAGTATTGCTGTCGAGGTATAAGACGCAATTCGTAATAGCTTAACAGCTTGAAGATGTCACATAATTTGTTTTCAGACTTTTAGAATGTCACGTTGATGTCAGCAAATCACCTATTTCTTCGACCAGTATCTCGCGTGTTTTCCATCCACACAAAATATTACTTATTCTCGTGTTTTAAAGATATTTGTAGTTGATCCCATCTGTGGCTCGGGTAGTCATGCCTTGTTTTTTTCCCATTAAATAAAAAAAACCAATTCGTGCGATGACGGTATCAGCTATGTTAAAGCTTCAAAGTACATGCCTAAGAACGCGTCGTTTTAAATAAAACCCGCAAGAATAAGATTAGATATGTCTCCAGGAATACTTCTCACGCGAAGGACAATCGTCTAAATTGGGTTTTGGAAAAACTCATGTTAATAGAATTTCTAGATTTCTGTTGAAGGTTTTGGAGGTAAAATTTAGATTCGTGAAATTATTCAATTTAATAGACGGAGTGCGTGCCAGCTTAATAAAAATAAGAAGAATTGTGTCTAAATCTGTCTCCCTGTGTGCAACAAAATGGGGGTTTTTGTTTATATTGTGAAATCCATTTCGGCTTCCATTAATGTCGGCAATCATGGGTTGTTTTATATGAAAATCATTTTGAAATATGTTTTTACACCATTAGCTTTATTTCAGACCCTTCATGACGTCTATATGATATGAATATTTCAAAATATGGAAGTAAATTGGACACATTATGTATGACAGGTTCCCCTGTTTCTCACAGTTTCTTGTCTTTCGATTGAGATAGTTCCAGATATTTTAATTTGTAATCTACACGTTTCTGCACATGTCAATTAGCATAGTTGTTATACTTTCTCTACAAGCTTACACTCACACATAAACTGCTTTCAAACCCTAATCGACTTTCAAATTTTACTTTGTGTTTTCTATCAAAGCAATTTCTAGAGAGAAAGTCGTCAGTTCTGACATGAATCATTAGGCTTCGCTGGTCTATAGAGAAATCCATTGTAAATAACGTGTTTTAAAGATTTAATCCAGTCGTTACGGGCAAATATTCCAAATTAGATATTCCAAACGAGATAGCCATGTCGTGACATTCAATCCTCCTTCAAGATTTTTAGATATAAACCTAAAACTCTTTCAGAATCGGTACATTCTTTGAAAAGCCTGAAATAAGGTAAAAATAATGAGATTTTAATAGCATTTCAAGGCTTTTTAAATATATTACTTCCTCAGAGATTTAACAGTGATTCTAAAATATTCGTTTACTGAACTGGAAGTTAATAGTGCGGTAAAATACGTATCGCTAATATTACAGATCACATATTTTCATACTACTGATGGGAATAATTGAATTTAAGAGAATAGTCAAGTAGGAAGATATTTCTTCGTTAGATGATTCTGTAATGTTGATTTCACTGATTATTTCTACTAATTTAAAAGTTTCGGCCGTTATGTAAAAATCTATGGTCTAAACAGTGACAAAACCAGTGCTTCGTTTTAACTTCGACAACGTTTAACATGCAAATGCCCTTCCGCAAGATAAATTTAGATGTCTAAAACAATTTCAATAGCATCTTCAGCCCCGAGTCTTATATACGCCCGGATTGAGATGGAGAGGAGCTTGCATTATCATGGCTGCTTCGACGCTATTTAAAGTATATTATATAGGTGTGTCTCCCAAGGGTCATACCAAACCGTTGTTTTGCCATTTTAAGATCTGACAATTTATTCATATGTATTGTAAGCTGATCGACGTAATGAAACGCTGAAGTCTTCGTGGTCTATGGAACGATTAATCAGGTTTCAAGTATGAATAGATGTTGATCAGTTTTCAATATGGTCGATAGTAACTATGATAGCTACATTCTAAGTTAAGACACCAATACAAAATGGCTTAATTTCTCTTAGACATACTACATTAGTTGCACATCTCCAACCGAAACTATTATATATCACTTGAGCTATATAATATTGGGTGTCAAATGATTTTTAAACCAGCCAATCAACGCACTTATAAGTTTATTTTTGTAATTTTGAACACACGCGTAAATATGATTGTGAATAAGTGTATTGGGACACTTGAAAAAAGTCGCCTGTGGCGTCAGGCAGGGCATGCTTTCTCTTCTAGACACCTGCTACCACTTTTCATTGTGACTTACTTAGTCACTTATCATTGATATGCTTCCTTATGTGAAAAGTTCATAAGCTGCTATCAATGTTTTGCTGTTTGGATATCGGGTTTCGTTTTGCGGTTTGGATCGTTTTGGTTTATTCATAAAATAGAGGTTGTAACTTTAGTGAGTTTTCTTTCATCTGAATCGGCTCTCTTCATACAGTTTAATCTTGAAATTGTAATATTGAAAATTTAAACGTTATACATTTTAAGATTTTACATGTCAATAAATGTTCCTGGTTGTATGATAGAAAACAAAACCATTTTTTTTACTGTGACGTTACTTTGATGTTTATGTTTGTATTTGATTCTATTGCAGTTATTAGAATCCAATAAAATGTATAATTTACAAGTAGATTGACAGTTTGTACGATTTTCTGTTCACAAATTTGATGTATTAAATCCCAAAAGCTGAATTCTGTAATAGCAAAAAGTTTCATTCTTACCATGTGGTTTGTATTCTAACGAACCAATGGCTTTTTTCGCCCACTTCAAATATTTCAAAAAAAACTTGAATGCTGAATGAGAGCCAACAAGTATTTTAAATTCTGAAATGAAATGAATTGAAATAGTTTTTGAATGAGATAAAAGGAAAAATAACAAGTACTGTCCTTTTTTTAACGTTTATGAACCGAGATTCCTCACAATATAATACAAATTAATTTGATTAAGATCTGTATTAAAGAGTCTAGAAAACAAAAGTTAGGGACTCGCATCTTCTCTAGATCAAGCCATTACGAACTGCGTCTCATACCGTGACAGCATAAGCCGCCTTTCTTGTATCACAGAGGTTTGTAAATGCATCGATTTGATTAGATAGTACGCTACCGAATACAGCCAATCAGTGCCCTCGACAGAAAGGTTTAAACAATTTGGCTGCGCTTGTTATCGAAGGTTATGATTGGCCGTGTTCTGTAATATAGGATATATTCCAATGATATCGCTGCTTTCACAAACTTTCGAAATTAAAACAAGGTGGCCTATGTCAATGTAATGTACCAAGTTCGTAATAGCTTGACAGTGTGATGATGTGCTTTTATATACTAGATCGTTTATCATAGACGTATTAGAATGCAATTTTTATTAGATGAAATTTGGGGTAATTGAATATCGACAATCTGTAGAAGTTCGTAATAAATAAATAAATTTTTTGCTGCCAGTAGGTGTATATGTATGTATATATCTGGTCATGTATTCTCATCTTATCTTTACGGAAGCGTATAAGGGCCATTCATGTTTTTTTTTTGAATTTTCAAGTTAGTATGTTGAATTTTCAAGTTAGTATGTTGAATTTTCAAGTTATTATCTTGAATTTTCAAGTTAGTAACTTGAATTTTTATGTTAGTAACTTGAAAATTCAACGACTTTTCAAGTTAGTATTTTGAATTTTCAAGTTAGTACGTTGAATTTTCAAGTTAGTAACTTAATGGGCAGAAAATTCAAGATACTAACTTGAAAATTCAAGTTACTAACTTGAAAATTCAACATACTAACTGGAAAATTCAAGTTACTAAATTCAACATACGAACTTGAAAATTCAACATACTAACTTGAAAATTCAACATACTAACTTGAAAATTCAACATACTAGCTTGAAAATTCAAGATACTAACTTGAAAATTCAAGTAACTAATTTGAAAATTCGAGTTGCTAACTTGAAAATTCAACATACTAACTTGAAAATTCAACGTACTAACTTGAAAATTCAAGATACTAACTTGAAAATTCAAGTAACTAATTTGAAAATTCGAGTTGCTAACTTGAAAATTCAACATACTAACTTGAAAATTCAACGTACTAACTTGAAAATTCAACATACTAACTTGAAAATTCAAAAAAAAAAAAAATAAATGAATGGCCCTAATATGCTTCCGTTTATCTTAGATCTTAAAATCATTGGATATTTTTGGACGGAAGTGGGGAAGTCCAAGTATCGCCTTAAGCCATATTATACTGGCATTGGATATTTCAAATCTAATATATTTGAAGTCTTAATGTGTTTATGGTTTCTAAAATGTATAATTTTTACAATACACATGAAATTGTAATCTGTCAACACGACTGACGAATGTGGTTTCAGATAACTTATTAAAATAACATTTTCCCATCTGAATAGAAAATTCTGTGACCTGACATATCTTAATGTACAAGATTTAACAACAAAACCCATGCCCATTAATCCTATTATAGGATATACGTAATACCAATAATGCTGCAAGTCGTTTTTTGTTTTCAATGGCACAGGAAACCTGTATAAATTATAACTTGGTCCTTAAGTCCTTGAATGTAGAGGTATTCATGCAATTTAAGCATATTTGAAAAAGAATCCTTTTAGATTTAGGCAGAATTTTTTGATGTCTTTTCTTCATCGCTATCTTTTCTAACCTAAGGGAAATGACGATGGTGATTAGACATTATAACAATATGTATATACAATAAGATTAATTATCTTAATAATACATATTTTTTTACTTTAATATAGACTTGCAAACGCATGTTAAAATACAGAATCTATATGTCTAATGATCGCATAGCGTGAAACTCTGAGTATCAACAAGTTTTTTTTCAGGTTCTGTTTTAATATAACTATATCGTTCTATAATTGATTATTTAGCACTATTTTATCAGTGAGAATTTTTTGTTATTGTAGAATGTAAATTCCAACCTTCAACTATTTACTAAACTATAATATAGTTTAACATCGTGTACTTAAAAACATTGTACAGGTCCATGAGCATGAATGAGTCAACGAAGACTCCAACTAGTGTGCAATCAGGGACATTTTGCCAGTACAGCAGCTCAAGCTTACTCTTAATCGTGCATAAGGCACAATGTCCTGTTTATTATTAACTGACCTACTAGATAAAAATTAGACCTACTTTACCTTCAAGCACACGAGAGCAACAACTTTGAATTTCAAAAAGGTGTCATCTATCTTCGTTTTTCTGATTCTTGTTTTGCAATCTCAACAAATAATAATGATTCTGATGGGAGTAAAAAGGTTAATGAATTCATAAAAAGGAAAAATATGAATATATATCGAAAAGAAGTAATTGATGACCATAAAACTAATAAAATGATATATCAGATCGGTGAAGGTTGACGTGTTTCAAGTGTTTGGCGGATGATAAAATTAAGTTCCTTGAGCAATGCCTTATAACCCATTTCATGTCCACATTGAATCCTGCTCAAGCGACCGGCTTTTATTAAGCAGCCAACATATATTCGATATGCCATCACAATTAAGCCCTAGCTCGCTCCCGTGTACCCCAAATGGTCACCTCACGGCCATATTTCGCTATTTTCAGGGGTTGATTTTCGTCTTGAATATATGTAAAAAGTCTTCAGAATTACCAGAACTGCACCAAAATCGCATAACCGCTTCAAACTTGAAGTTTCTATTTCTATAGAATATGTTTTTTCTATATATGGTGGATTCTTAAGTCGTCATTTTAACTTCAAACGCGGATTATTCACGATGACACACGTGGATATGAAGCCTGAAATTTCGACGGTGAGCTGTGGAAACTATTCTCGTTTCTGAGACAAAGAAACGATTCGTCAAACGAATAGGAACCTGTCCGTTTATATTTAATAACAGGTGGCGAGCCAGAAGTTAGTAAGGAAACCTTGAATTCCTATCACAAACAACATGATATAGATTACATGAAAGCAGTTGTTAGGAATATTTCCCTTCCAATTACAGCAAGAGGTTATCCGATTATAAAATCTTATCAGACATTCACAGCAGTCTCCTTATTCAGGTTTTACAGCCTATTTCTCTCCAAAATCAACAACAATTTATCTAACTTTTATAATGCTCAAATTGTTTGCTCTATGGTCATCAAAGAAGATTATGTCCTCCATTATTTAAAGTGTAAAGAAGGCATGCATTCAACTTAAAATAAGTCTGGAAGATATATTCTATAGTTATCTCTTGTTCTTGTCTGAATTCCCAGTCGTTTTCACTATTTTATGACAGAATGTATGAGACGCCTCATCAATATGAGATCATTAAATTTTTATGTACACGAATAAACTTTCAATCTGATCTCGGCTTCAGGGAATTCATTTTAGATTTATGCTTCTCTTCTCAGTCTGAACAATAAATAATTTTATCAAATCTTCATTTTGATAACTCTAGAAACTGAAGAAATAAATGTAGGTTAATTGAAAAATGGAAGGCAAACAAACTAAACATACCGGAGGTAATGTCTTCATTGTATCATCACTGTCAATTCTACAAACATTTTAACTTTTAACAAGATTGTAAAGATAGCTTGCTAGGCAAGCTAACATACGCCCACTATCAGCTGTCAGAAATGATAACAAAATCTTTCGTGGCTAAAAAATGAATTTTCAAATAATCTTAAAATCATCTATAAGTCAAGGCAAAAACCTGAAATAGTTCATCAAGTTATCATCAAATTCAAATGTCTCATCGCTGTACACACAAGGGCAATAACTCTGAAACTGTTCATCATCCGAATATAACCAATTTCTAACTTGAATGAGATCTCATTAATATATTATATGAATATATAGTTTCATCAAGATCAGATAAAATCTGTAGTCTCCATCGTGCCTACAAGCCAAATTTGACAAGGTTTTACGAAGTCAAGGGCAATAACTCTGAATCAATTCATTTGATTATTACCAATTTTGAACTTGGCTGAGATCTCATCAATACATACATGCAAACCAAGTTTCACGAAGATCGGATAAAAACTGTAGTCTCTATCGTGCCTACAAGAAATGTGAAGGACGGACGGACGGACATTTAATGTGGGCGTATAAAAAAGTGTCAACAAAGCGAACATTATAAACTCGACAATTGAGTTGTATTCATCTTATTCAAGAAGTTACAAAAAAAAATCTGTAGAATGCACAAGATACTGCTGGTTTGTCGTCTTTTGCCTGAAAACTTACATATCTTGATGTCCACTTCTAGCTTGGATTTTATACGATCTGGCATCTAAGACCTTTTTTACTTGAGAATCTGATGGGCCTCTTTTCCTCTTCAATATCGTAATTCTACATATGTTAATTGTTTTCTCTGAAAAACCACCGTAACATCTTGTTGGTATATGAAATTTACTACATCCACGATTGGTTAACCTCATAACAACAAGGTTAATGAATTCTAATTGATAAATAAAGTAGGCTACATGCCCGAGGCTGAAGGTTTCTGTCTAAGGTTAACATCTTATTATGATAATCTTGGAAAATAAGATTTTAAGGATAACAAACTATTCATTTGGTTCATCGCGACTTTTGTACGTGATTAGTAGGGTTGTCATATTTTTGTTTTCATTTGCTGAAACCTGCATTGGTGAAACCAAACACCCAATTCCGAGACAAGACCACCATTTATTGACCTTAGTTATTGATCTTAGTTCAACCAAAATGTTGAATCCTTAAATGTATTCACTATTGACATTCCCTTCAAAGGAAATGACACCTACTGGGCATGCGCTGGTGGGTGAAGAGAGATAGGTTCCAATAAAGGTTCTTGCCCAATAACTAGTGGCATTGATCAGTAAGTCACAGCTATTTCCTGTGCTTGACAGTGTCCGCAAACTACAAGAAAGTTGAGTTAGATTAATATTTTAGCTAACCCAGCGGTACATTTCGTAGATTGTTCGTCATTGTCTCGTGTATCAGTGCGAGACAGTTTCCTTGGTGGAAGCCCCCTCCTATGATGTTAGCTCATGAGCTCGTGAAGTGAAACTTTTGAAAAATGTTCATTATTGTATTATGTATCTTAGTCTGATATTTGTACTTTGCCAGAAGTATTGTTGGTTTAAGACACACATAGTCTGAAAGTTTTACTTTTCAAGAAATATGGTTGGTTTAAGCCATAAGGTTTTATGCAGAAGTATGGTACATTTCTGGTCAGAAAATATATTGTTTAAGAAGTATGGCTAGTTTTGCCACACGTGGTCTGAAATTTGTACTTATATATTGTCTCTCTTAAACCAGGTGGATAGGGTTAATCCCATCTCCTAACAGAAATATATTCATCGCACTGATGCATTTTTAATAATTTCTAAAAAATCTTTAATAAGATTATGTTCAGACGGATATAATCTCATTTTACGTGTTGAATATTACAATTCTTTCAAAATTATACTTTATGTCTGGACATTGTTATTAGAGAACTTTTTTTTATAATCTATGTTCAAATAAAGAGCATTAAATAAACTGTGATAAGAAACTGATGAGTTTAACGTCTTACTTTTCTAGACCTTAGACACGTTTATGTTGTCTTACCGTAGACAATGTAATATAGATCTGTTGAACGATTTGCCAACTGATGAAAAATTATAAGCAAGTTTATTAATTTGATATACTCTTTGCAAAACATACCGGAGCTTGTGTTATTTCAGCAACTCCACCATTTCCTTCTCGTCAATTTAAGTAGTTTCTTATTCCCCATTGTCACAACTAATTGATGGTTAATTGTCTAAAGCATAACTATTATAAAGATGATATTAATAATGTTGAATTCTAATTCAATTTCTGATATTAATAATTGTAACATAACGATGGTTAAGTAATTAGGTAATTAGGATCGTAATTGCTTCCGCCATTCCCCAGAATACCTCGAGGTCAGATTCAATGAAGTTTTAGAACTCAACTTAAAGCTTGGAGAATGAACTCGGAGACAATCTTGTCCAGCAGTAGAGTCATCGGCCTAAGGTGTGCATATAGTTAAGCTCAAATTCAATATAGTTTTTGGACTCGAGCTTAAAGCTAACTGAAAGATCATGTCTACCACCAGCACAATCATTAGCTTATTGGTGTGCAATAAATTTATCAAATAAACATTATT